GTTTCTTGTTCAAAAAACAATTTGCGATAGTAGGAATTTTTTTTTAAAAGAAATTAGGCTTCCAATGAGATAAAAGGAAAGAATATACAAAGGTCGTACAAAAATCAAGCTGGAAAAAAGAGGACCAGCTTATAAGAGGGACATCAATCCAACACCCACATAGAAGTATCTATGTATTAAATCTAACAGTCTCCCAAAATCTCCTTCCAAGACCTCTCAACCCCCTAAAAATTCCCTTATTCCTCTCAAGCCAAATAGCTCACAGAATAGCAAAAAACAAGTATTCCACAATAGAAGTCCTTTAATTCGAAAAGGAGGAAACAACAATACCTCCTCCATCATCGCCCTACACTCCCTGTTACAAGCAAAGGAAACCCCCCGAAAGCCTCCAAGAACCAGCCCCAAATAAACGGGACGAATTGGCAACTCCACAGATTATGGGGGCCAACAAGAAGGAAAAACATATGTGAATTTGGCCTAAAGGTAATATTTTCACACACAAGACTTGCCAGACAAAGAACTTGATCTTTGTCGTAATTTTTACCTTCAGAGCGAAGGCATTGGAGGAAGTGAGGAAATGCTCAAAATATTAAAAAAAAAATAACTACAAGAGAAACCCAATGGCAAATTAGGGGACCAAACACGAAGGTCTATCCTTCCCTGAAAGAAGCGAACGTCCCCTAATAACAAAAACAAAAGAAGCAACCTCCAACAATTCACTATCCATCAAAGGCCAACATAGACCCAAAGAAATAGAAGGAGAATTCCCCCATGACTCCAAGTCCAACACAAAGGTCATTGAACACAACCTCATTAGAAAGGTGGTATAAGTGAAAGGCGATATAAGCGAGGGAATAAAAGTCGCAAGGGTTTATATCACCCACCCAAAAATCCTCCCAAAAATAAGGGTGTGTTTGGGAGTGATTTTGACGTGACCAAAATCACTTTTGCCATTGTCAAAATCATTCATTGATCATGTTTGGCAAATTAAAAAATTGATTTTAGGAAAGTTTAAAATCACCTTAAATTGATTTTTAAAGTATCACTTTGATGGTGATTTTAAAAAATCAATTACATTTAAATCTCTTTTTTCAAAATCACTCATCCTACCATCACTCTCAGACACGCCCAAGTCCCAATACCATCCCCAATAGAGCAAGAAACAAACAGGGAAAAGAAGGGAAAGATAGAGAAAATAGCCTTCCCGAGGCAATTAGAATACATCTTTAAGACCATTGATTGAGAATCATTAAGTAGGGGACCCATAGTAGCTCACGACTATCCTACTCCACAACGCATTACATTCATAGAAAAAACACAACCATTTGGCCAACAATGTCTCAATTTTGAATTTCAAATTCCAACCCCCAACCTCCCGGGGTATCGAAATGATATCTCAATTAACCCATCAATCCCTCATAATTTTCTCCAAACTTTTAGTCACGACCACCTGGATTTTAGACAAGCAACCTAATTTCTTAAACAAGGTCAGGACATAATTTGGGATCCATCTTAACACGGCCTTAAATGAGAGTGAGTTTCACTCCTTTAGAAAAAATAAGCCCTTTCCAAAAAGAAAGGTGATTTTGATCCTTTTCCACAACAGGAGTAACACCAAGCTCTTTAAAATCTAGCCTAAACGAAGCCTGAGGTAAGAAGACATAAAATTTTGGACCTCACACCCCACCAGGGAAGCCCAAGTGTAAAGTTGGACCGCTCGCGCTCGCCATTAATTCTTAGCAAAGAACTCTTACCTCTATTAATCTTAAGACCCAAAACCGCTTTGAAGAACAATAGCAAGCGATTCAGATTAATAAAGGAACTTCGTCCCTTAACAGAGTAAGAGAGTAATATCATGCAACAGGCAAGTTCTCTTTCCCCACAAGGAAGCCCTCTAAACCCCTTTCTCCACTCTGAGAGAGACTAACTTGTTAATTATGTCCTAGGATGAGATCATAAGAATGAGATGAAAAGAAAAGGGGACAAATGGGTGCATTATCAAAAGATAGCCTACTCTCCTCATGGATGAAGCCTGAGATTTTTTCGAAAGACAATTCGCTCAATAAATGTGGGAGAGTTTCCATTTCCAAGATATATAATCTTGCAGACAGCATACAAATCCAGCAAGTGTTGAATAGGGAGTCTTCTTTTGGCTTCATTATCCCAATCAGTTGCTCAAAAAGTCAGAAGCATGGACCAGGAAACCTATTTTTAATTATTCAATTGACGGATTTGTTGTCCTTCCTGAGGGGTTTTATTTGGCTGTAAATTTAGGACTCCTAAGAAAAGTGAAGTCATTTCTCTGATCCTCCTCTCTTGGCAAGATCAACACTTTTGACAAGATCCAAAAGAACCTAAACCTTGCTTCGGTATCCCAGTGATGCATCTTGTGTAAAAGCAACGATGAAGACCAAGAGCATTTATTCTTAAAGTGTTCACTTATTTAACGATATTTTAGTGCTATAGTTTGCACAATTTATAATTTTTTACGGTGTAACCTTTTTATTATTAAAGAATTCCTTCTTCGGCTACTTTCAAGACACTGATTCAAGAACAAAGCTCAAAGTCCTTATTCATGCCACTTGAAGAGCTTTCTTAATCGAGACTGGATTGTGTGTGAAAGAATATTTCTACTTTTACCATTCTTTCATTGCACAAATCTCTTCTTATAACTCATTGCTTCCTATTCCCCCCTCTTGTAGGGAGATTAGGTCAGGGCATCATAATGCCACATTAAGAATCTTTTTTTTTTTGTGTGTGATGAGGCCAAAACAAGTAATTCTCCAAGCATGTTTAGTCACATTGCTAGCTTTTTTTTTAATGAGAAACCAGGCTTTCATGAGCAATAATGAAAGAATATACCAGGGCAAAGAAAAAAAGAGCCCAAGAAAGAGTCCAATCACAGGAAAGGACTCCAAAGTCCAATCCAAAAGAATAAAACATTAACTGCAACATATAAAAATAGCCATCCATGTACAAATAATAATGCATCTTATCAAAATTGAATCTTTAAAGTAGCTAACAATCAACCGAAAAGGCACCATTGTATCAACTGGAAATGACACACAGCAATATGAGCAGAGTAAGGCACGCCTTCAAAGTTACAGTAGATAGACATTTTTTTTCAATAGAACCAAGACATCTGCTCTTAGAAAGTCAAAGGTTTGGCGTATAATTTGCATATATTCTACAAATAGGTAATTTAAACTAAAACTTCAAGCAGAAAACAGGTATCAGGGTAGGTTAGAATGTGTGAGAAATTTCAACAATAAGGATAAAGGGCTCTGCTTTTGATTGAAGAAAGAATAGGTAGAGGAGGTGGCTAAAGAAAAAAGCCTCGAGGCTAGTACTTCTAGAAATGTTCAAGATAAAGATCTAAACTTTGCATCCAATAAGAACATCCAGAAAAAGCTTCCAGAAGATTGTGCAAGATGAAATTGAATGTTTACCTTTTCAATATTTTCCATCATAACACCTTTCACTTCTGAAACCTGAGCTTTCACCTTTGCAAGCTTGCTAACCTCTTCAGGATGATCAACACAGTACTGCATATGTTCCTTCAATTTTGACCTGTAAATAATATTATACTTAATCAACAATGTATACTCTATAAACCATCCTCAGCAAGTACTTTGATCAAATACCCGAATTCCTTGTTAAGACTATTGGCTGGAGCTGTGGAAGCCTTTCCTCCACCATATTTTGACACAAAATCATCCTTGATGCGCTCCAAAAATGCAATAGGCACTTGCCTTCCAGCTGATTCCGTTGCAACTACACAGTATGCTGCAAATTTTGAAGACAGAAGAAAATGGAGGGATGACTTTTTGGTCA